CACAGTAATCTAGGAAAAGTATAGAAAGGGTAAAAACTACCTCACCCCTATATACATAAATTTTAGTAGAAATACTCCACCGTTTTTTAAATGGCCCTTTTCATTTTTTATCTCTTGAAAAAAACGTTTCCGTACTTTTTCTTTATTAGGAACTTTTGTATAGAGATCAATTGTGTTCAATGCACTTATGTTCCATAAATACGTAGCAGTTCTCTGTCTACGGCATACTGGGACACCCTGTATATACGCTGTTATATTCTGCACACTGTTGGGGCTGTGAAACATCACCCTTGTGACTAAATATATCTAAACAGAGATTGCATGAAACCCGTAGTTTAGTAAGCTCTAGCGAAATGTATTGTACAACTGAAGACGCAAATGATCAACTAGGGGAAAATGTTAGAGACTTTTATTTTTCTCTGACTCTGTAAGAGTATGTTTGTAGAAACCGGTCCTGCACGTGGGATGCAAAGTTTAAGATAATTCTTACGTTCGTAGTTATTTTGAAATTATACACAGAGTGTCACTCTTTGAGTTTGCATTTACATTTTTTTTCTTTTAGATAATGATTAATTTTTAAAGTATAGAGTTTGAGATTAAATTTACATATTAATCTAAATGTTAGAGATTTACTCTAAGTACTAAAGTACTAACTAAACATGAAAGTACTAATGAATAAAATAATTACCTTATTTAGCTCCAATATAAAAAACGAAATGCCGTTTTAGAAAGAATTTATAAATATGTATATGTATATCTATACTAATATATAAAATCCTTAAGTGACTGACATACTGATTAATCACGATCCTGCTCAAACCACTCAACGCAAGAAGCTCAATTTTGGCATACAGGTTGATTCTAGGGTGTAAAGGTTCGACAAGAAAAGATTTTTCGAAATTCCAGTTCCAAGAGGGTAAACCACCCCTCAAATATTACAATATTTTTTATTTCAAAAACGGTCAAGTTTCCGAAAAAATGCTTAAACCCGTATATTTTATTTTGTTTTTTTTACATATTTTAAGATTTTTTAAAAATGTATACAAGGTGTTTCGAAAAATCTGGTCTTTGATTAATCACGATCCTGCTTAAAGCGCTTGACGTAAAAAGCTGATTTTTGGAAAACAGTTTGACTTTAGGGTGTAGAGGTTCGATAAGAAGGGATTTTTCGAAACTCGAATTCTAAGGGGGTGAAACTATCTCTCAAATACTAAAATATTTTTTATTTAAAAACCGGTGAGTTTTTCGGAGAAACTCTTAACAGGTATATTTTATTTTGTTGTTTTACATATTTTAAGATTTTTATAAATTTATACAGGGTGTTTCATAAAATATGACCATTGAGTAATCACGATTCTGCTTAAACTGCTTGACGTTTAAAGCTGATTTTTGACAAACGGATTGACTGGGATGTAGAGGTTCGATAAGGAGGGGTTTCTCGAATCTCAAATTCCAAGAGGGTGAAAACGCCCCTCAAATATTACAATATTTGTTATTTAAAAACCGGTTAGACTTTCGGGAAAACGCTTGGACAAGCATAATTTATTTTGGTTTTTTACATATTTTGAATTTTTTTAAAAAATCATACAGGGTGTTCCAAAAAGTTGGGTAATTTCTTAACCACGATTCTGCTTAAACTGCTTGACATAAAAAGCTTTTTTTTGGCAAACGGATTTTTCGAAAGTCAAATTCCAACGAGATGAAACTACCCCTCAAATATTACCAAGTTATATAATAATATCGCCATATTGTTTTTTCTTATGCTGACATAAATGTGAGAAAATTTTATCCAGTTTGTATGTTAATCGAAATTCTTGCTTTGCTTTATCATCACCATTACAAATGATTAATTCGACGCGAACGAAGTCGCTGGTACACGCTAGTATATTTATAAATCCCTATGTATGATGAGTTATAGACTGTATGATGAGTTATAACTCAAAAAAGGGGGACACCTTAGATATTTAAGGTCGCTGTTATTAAGCCCCCTCTCACTCAGTCTATATTCTTTGTGAAAGATGCCCCCTTGGAAACAAAAATATACGGGTCCCAGATTTTTTAATATCTACCTACAAATCCGTAAATCTTACTGGACTGTTTTCGATAGGCCATCCTGTATATTTCTGCCCCGATTGTTTGTTATTAATTAAGAATGCAGGGGAAAAAATTGGAAAAAAATTGAGTAATTTAAGGCGAGCAAGAGGTGCTTGTAAAATTTTACAAGCATAACAGGAATTCCTCGTTCAAACGTAGTAAATTTTCCGATAAAAGTTACTGGCTCTTAAAAAAACATAAAGCGGTTAATTTATTTAAAGGAGTTACCCTCTGACTGTTTTACGCTTACGGAACAAATAAATATAAAAATCGTGCAATTTTATTTACTTTTAAAGCCAGTTTTATGGTTACCTTCTCTATAGGCGAAACATTGCGTTTTTTTTCTTTGACCTATAACTAGAATAGAGCCACTACACGGGACTTGGTGAGAAATAAAAGAATTCGCAAACGGAAAAAGATCATTAAGTGATCGCTTAATTATAAATAATACTTTTTTAATTTAGCGTTTTTTCGCACAACAGCATCATGCATAAAATGCCAAAGCTAAATTGCCATTGTAGTATTTATAATTTAACTGTAATTGGCATTTATGATACATAATGACAAATATTATTATGAAATAATATTAAATGAAAAGCAAAAAATCCGGCGACAACAGTTTTTAGAATAGCCAATTAGCTATCTTTTAGTAAAAAAAGCAACTTTCTAGAGCAAGTCGTTACTTCAGTAGAGACGACACAGATAAACATTAGCATTTTATACATATATGTAGATTACTAAGCCTTAATTTCTAAAAAAATAACAGTTCTTAATGTCCATAAGTCCAAGTACTTAAGCATTATTAGCAAAATTAGTAATATTTTTCCTTAACTTGAAAATGTCTTTTAGTACAAAGAAGTAAAATACAAAAAACACATATATTTACAGATATACACTGTGATAAAATAAAAAAGACTATGGAACGCAACGTAATAATAAAATATAAATTTATTAATACATTATGGGCGACGGTGCTGTTCGCCTGGAGAGCATTATAGGGTGAGCAAGGTTTGTGCTCAAATGAGCGCCACTGAATCTACCTAATAGCCTTAGGCTAATAGTTAAATAACATTAAAGATTCAGAAAACTGTTATTAGGAAAAGATATTTGCCAAGATGGAACCTCATTCATGTAATAAAACAAATAAGTTTCTACTCTACTATATCTAAATATATTAATTAAAATTAATGTTTGGTTAAAAAATACGTTTGTTTTATAACAACCAAAAAAGTAATGAAATAGGTTTAAATTTTGAAAATGAGGTTAAAAAGTTATTTAAATTTGTAATTAAAGTCTATAATTAAATTGAAAAGTATATAATTAAGTGAAGTATAATATAAAAATAATAATAAAATTAAATCAGACTTTACTATTTATACCTTTTTATACTGTACCCCAAAATAAAAGTATACAAGCCTGGGTAATTTCGCCAACAGCAGCAGCTGAGCACGGCAGTGTTGAACAGGATGAACTCCAGGAACTACAGTTATCAGCAAGGCCACAAATCTTCGTTGAGTTGAAAAACAGGGTGGATGTCTCGACACCATGTGCAAGTGAATGTAAAAAAAACATCAAAGCAAGAAAGGAAAACCAAGAAAAGTAAAAACCGGAAAGAAAAAAAACCCTGTGGACAATATTTAAATTAATATTTGTGGATTTTAGGTTATGATACCTTACCCCAAAGCGTAACTAATAACTCATCCAGCTACCATCGACAATTAACAAAATTAGTGGATCCATTCAAAATTGTTGTCCAAATCTAATGAAAATTATTAAGAATCAGAATTGAAAAGGTAAAAACGTAAATAAGTTAACTTACCCAATATCTGGCCACATGGCACCTCAAAAAAAAACAAATCTTTACTATTTTGGTTCAGGCAAATTCTTGAAAAAATTTATAATATTTTCCAACCACATCCAAAAATTACGCTGGCAATACCCACAGGAACCATACCGGCAAGGATTCCACAAGGAAAAAGACAATCTACTCCCGATTCCCGATCGCCACGCCAATATGGCGATCGGAGGGAAAAGAACAGTCATCGACCAAAATAAACCTCCAACTACTCCAACTCCAAAGATTTTGAAAATCCAGAAATGACATTAGAAAACGGAAGTTAGCGGCGTTGCCGTAAGACCAAATAAACAGGTATTTTGGGGAAAATATTAGACAGATAAATTAAAAAGAAACTGTCAACACTGCGTAGCTCACCCGCTGCTGTTAAATAAATACAAAATAATTATAAAGACATATGTAAATATTATAATTAATTAAGAGAAATTTATAAACTATTAACTAAAAGAGAAAGGGATATTATCAAAAAAAGGTAGCAAGTTTAAAAAGCATGCGACAGCTATCGATAAAGTTCTTTACAGCTAATAATGAGTTATTTGTATTCTTTAACTTTAAAGTTACAATATAAAAAATATACATTGTTTCATAAACTATTTATTTTTCTATATTATAGTTTTACCTTTAATTAAGAGTTTAAATAACTCAGTTTAAATAGTGCTCACTGTCAGAACTTCAGGATAAATATGGTAAAGCGGGATTGTTATTTTTGTACCAACTCTGATGTAATTTATTTTTGATCATATGGTTACTTTAAGTCGAAATAAATTTCGATAAAATGATTCGAGACATTAATTATCGAATATAGTAAAATTGGTAAGAGACGCCCATGTTTTCTAGTACGAGTACTTACGTAACAGACAAAAATCTATCTCGATATTAATTCTTTTTTATCAAAACACAAAAGTTGTTGTAGCTTGGTGTTTGCAAAATACTTGTCTAAAAATACAGAATCGTTGCCAGAATAATCCAAAATGTAAATAATTTTGATTCATAAGATATTTATTAACATTTTCCCCTCCCGATATTAAATTTCTTTGTATACTATTCTCAGGTGAAGTTTCTACAAGAAAAAATGATTGGTGAAAACTTTTCTGGACTAAATAGCTCTGCTTCTGGTAAATGTGTGGAATCATCATTTCCTAAGAGATCAGAGACATCACAGACTATCAGAGACAACTTTGGTAGCAGGATTTTGGCAAGCATAGGAATGGATTAATTGTAAGGTTAGTTTTCTTTTTTTTCTTCACTACATATTTGCTTACTTTATAATGCACATGTTTTGAAACTGAATATATTTTCAGAAAATATATATTTTTTTTTGGAACTTATTGGGACAGAGGTTTAGATATGTGATTCTTTTATATTTCCTAGTTTTCCTTGCATATTTCTATATAGACATATATTCTTCCAACAGAAATAATTTCAAAGCTAAAGGAAAATAAGTGTTTATTCGGAGCTTTTCATGTGAGTAAATTTATCATATTTTTTTTATAAAATGCTCACAGAAAGAGATGCATACTCTTTAGAGTTTTTTTTTGTCAGCTTACTACTAACTTTTTGTGGCTAACGGAGGCAACTACTATGGTAAATATTTTTGTGGCATATTGTTTTATTGTAAAAAAAGTTTGATAGAAGTTATCTAATACTTAATATACAATAAAATACATTTTAAATTACTAGTAACAGGTTCTATACCGGGTGCGTCTCAAAAGTGGCTCACCCTTATAACTTTGTTATTTTTTCAGATAAAAGAAAACGAGATTTTGTATGTGTGTATATGACATAAATTAGAATTGATTGACGTATTCAGTTGTTTTCGGTCACTTCCGGTTTCGTAGGAAATGACTACAACTTTTGATTTTTAAATGGCACCCTCGGAATTTTTTTACTTTATTTGATAGGAAATGACACTCTAAATATAATGTCATATCATATGTCAACTTTTGACATTTTCGAATATGGTTTATTTGGAATTGCAACATGCGATTCATAGCGACAATTTGTCTCGAAATACCCAGTTTGTGGTACCAAATTATTCGTAAAAAAATGCTTTTTCCAAATATTCTAATGAGCCATCCTCGTTCCATTTGAAAAAAATTGAGATATGGTTAAAAATATGGTTTGGGCATCTTTTAACCGGCCAGGACAAGACACTAAAAACATTAGACGATCAAATCTATTTTTCCAAAGCTTCTTGATTAAAAATTAGTGTTTTTAACACAGCCACTCTAGATTGAATTTTAAAATACAATTTTATTTTAAGCCAAAATGTCAAAAGTTGACATATGATATGTCATTCTATTCAGAGTATCAATTTCTATGGAATAAAGTAAAAAAATACCGAGGGTGCTATTAGTTAAAACCATTGAATACGTCAATCAATCCTAATTTATATCATATACTAACATACCAAATCTCGTTTTTTTATCTGAAAAGTTAAAAAAGGTTTAGGGGTGAGCCACTTCTGAGACGCACCCGGTATATATGTTTTTAAATTTAAAAGACAAAATGTAACCTTTTTGTGTGCTTATCACTTATCATATTGTTCAACGTTACGGCTTGGGATGATAGTAATTGATGATTGATTGATGACAATTGACAAATGGCAATTGATTAATTTTAGCGAGGTCAATCAATAGACGTCATTTACTGAAAAGTGACATAAAACTTGACGAAAGTTTAAAAAAGGATAGGACGTTTCCAGACAAATGTATTTCCAAAAAAATATTTTTTTCCTTTAAAATCATTTATACTCGATATGAAAGTAAAATTACTACCTTCGTAAGGCCATTAAGCGTCATTAAAAAATAGAGAAGAGTACGAAGAAGAAATCATCATCGATTATTATTTCCCAGCCGTCTTTGACGCCGTTTTTTTCTCGGTCGTTTGGTATTTCAGTTATAGATTATCGCTCTGTAATAATTATTATTTATTACAACTTCTTATAACTATATAACAATCGGTTTTATAATTTTATTGGCGCTTTCCGCGAAAGTATAATAAAATTCCTGGATCCGGAACTTTTCCTAAATCCTCTAAAAGGATTTTCCCGCAAATCCTTAGTTACAGTTAGTGATTAAAATATGTACTTACGTCATCATGATGATACCAGAAAATGTATGCTGGTGGTTCGGGCATGAATTTTATGGAACATGTTAGGTTGATGGTGCTTCCTTTGTCTACGTGCAGGTCAGGACCACCGAGAATCTGAGCAGCTGGGACTGTAAAGCGAAAATAAACATTTACTCTCGGTGTTTAAAAGCGTACTAATTAGTTTACAAAAACTGAAAAAAACAAAACAGTTTCCAGACAAAACAGAAGAAAAAAGATATTTAGCGGTGAAAAGCGTCCCAGTTTAGAAATCGAGACATCGGCGCAACTTTAATAAGAACTAATTTTGTGTTTGTTTTATTATTGAAATCGTTAAAGTTTTAGCTCATTAAAAGGGGACGGCATTCAAATATCTTAAATACGACAAATTAGGGTATTAGTTAATTAGCTCGGTTTGTTAATGGAGTAAAGCAAAACGCTGTTAGTGTATTAATTTTAGTAATAGAAATGTAACCTTCAACCTGGTTGACCCTCTTTTAACGTGGGCCTTGGGGGTGGTTGCGGGGGGCACGAACAGTTACATTTGTAACTCTCGTCTTGAGCCGGTTCGTCTTGGGGCACATTCTCTGTTTTAAACAAATAAATATAATATAGAATAATAAAAAATAACAATAAAAATAATTAAAAAGGAAACTTTTTGAATCATCCATTTGGGATTACCGAATAGTCTTCTTATTAGTGAATGCGAATGCCATAATTATATTTCCTACCTATATTGCAAATATAAGGTCTATATTCATTCTCTATATACACACTTAGATTTATATGCAAAAAAACGCAGCAATTTTTTTTACTTTCATCCCTTTTCTATTTATATGATTTTTTTCAACCTGTATATAAATATATTTGCTTTAATTCGTAAACTCAGTTTTTTCAACAGGGTTAATCGAAAGGTTGTTTTTTACTCTAGCCTTAAAACATCCTGTGCAATAATTTCGTTGATACATTTTCCTGAAACATTATTTTTCGATCAGAACCATGTGTTTTGAGCTTTTTGTTTTTTGGGCACATGCCTTGGTTAATTTTTAAGAGCAAAATATGAAAATGCCACCAATTTTCAGATTTTTCAATTACCATTACTTGTCTTTTTGATGCTATTTTCTAATACGACGAGGTGGTTTTGTTAAGTATTGTCTCACTGTTGACGAACTGTAAATACACTTTCATATAAAACGCTTTTGATCGTAGAGCGGTGAATAGTATAGCCACATATTCATAATTTCGCCCATCTTCAACAAGGGCAACGGCTTTTGCACAGTCTTCGACACTAACAAATATACAGGGTTGTTCACCACATACGATACGGAGTATTGTAGCTAAACGATTAGATTTTTACAAATTGTAAGTTTTGGGTTCGTTGAAGGACTATTAGAACTACAATTTAAAAATATTTTTATAAGATACAGAGTGTCCCAAATAAGTAAAAAATATTATAGTTTTATTTTTTTAATGGAACACCCTGTATATTATTCAATTTTTGGATTCTACGGTCGAAATAAAGGTAAATTTGATTAAGGTTTATCACACTTAAACCTTACCGTTTTTGAAATATTTTCAATGTTATGAAATTGCCTAACCTAACAGATTTTTTTTATTTTTTAATGAAATAAGCGAACTATATTGACAATATTAGTATCTGTGTTCTTTGAAAATTTGTTACATCTTTAAAAATAATCTAAAATGTCAATATTCCATGGGTATAGTGATAAATGAAGTCTAAATAAATTATAAGAAAATGCATTTTCTACGAAAACTTGAAGAGATGGTTAAAAAATGGTAAATACAATTTGATAGACAATTACATTGTGCATCTGAGTCACATAAAATATATAGGGTGTTCCGTTTAAATTAAACAAGTTATTGCCGTTTAAAGCTAGTAATTATTTAATTTTTGGACACTCTGTATAAGGTAGTAAAATTTTTAGTATTGCATCACAATATCTGATCAATAAATAATCTTCAGCAAATATTTAGTATTAAAAACTTTGATACCCTTGGAGAAATGAAGCCTTAAAATGTTTACTGCAATTTCATAAAATTGAAAATATTTCAAAAACGGTAAGGTTTAAGTATGATAAACCTTAATCAAATTTACCTTTATTTTAAACGTAGAATCTAAAAATAGAATAATATACAGGGCGTTCCATTTAAAAAAATACAACTATAATATTTTTTTACTTATTTGGGACACTCTGTATCTTCATTCATTCGGAATATTGCTATGTAACTTTTATGGAGATAAAATATATTGATAAATATTTTTTCAGCTCAATGAATAGAACTTAAGTTGTGTATTATTAAGTTTATATAAAAAATAAACACGAAAATTATGTTGCCAGTTTTTGTTGGATTATAATTAGAACTAAAGTGTTTCTGATTATATGTTCATGTCTAATACTGAACTATGACAAAAGTACAGAAGGGTAAACTCTTCAAAGTTTATAGTGACTTGACACTTGCTCTAGGCGACGGCACTTTCAAGAAATTTCTTAGTACGCCAATAGCAGATTATGCTAGAATAAACTCTGTTAAAATACTTAACAAGGAATACAAGGAATAGGAAGTCAGCAAATTAATATACAGTATTATTGAATAAAAAGGCCAAGATCAAATTAAAGACAAATTATATTATAAATAAATTTAATTTTTCCACACAAATATCATTCAAATAACTGTAATTTTTAAATGAAGCGCTTTCTTAAAGCTTGATGAGAAGTTTTTCTTATAAATAAAACGAGAAAAATTCTAAATCTGGAAAATCAGTGCTGAAGATAGATTAATAACTTTTCGATTTCTGAAGTTTTCAGGATTTAGAATTTTTAACGTTAATTTCTTTTCAGACACTGGAAACCATTATAATTAAACGTGGAAATTAATTTGCGAAGTTTGATGGCACGAGTTTGGGCTTTTGAAGTTGTTTAAAATATCCACGACCATAGGTCTTGATGCAGAATATATCTGAGATATTACAGCTATAAAAAATACTCTTTCTTTCTCTTTCTGTGTTTGTTGATTTCCCAAAAACTAAAAGGTTTGTACAGGTTTTATTAAATTATTTTGGTTTGTGTTTTTCAACGCACGTTTTTGATACGATATTAAAATGGAATGACAACGTGGTAGTAATTCTGCTATCGTTTTTCTATAGTTAAAATTTATTTGTTTTAAGTTGGGACAGAGTTGAGGTACAGGACATTCTAAGAGAATAAATTACTCCAACTTTAACATGGCGCTAGAGTGTGCGAGAGTTCAAAAGTTCTATAGTTTAGAACCATACACAGAATTTAAATCGTTGGTATCAGAACAATCTAGTAGAAAAATCCTCCGTATAAATTTATCAATTACAAACAAGGCCAAACTATCTGTATCACATTTTGCTGGAGAAATAGACTTTGTATTCATCTTATTCTTTGTGTCTCAAATTCATGTATACTTTAAATATACATGTGTTACCTAATTTTAAGTTGAAATCTTTTGGAATAATTACGGCAATATCCTTTTACTGCACAAAACTTGATTGAAAATCTATCTCTTTCCTGTATCAAAACTACGCCCTAAGTTTATCTCAGATAAAAGATGATAGAGTTCAAAAAGAAATAGGGAACCCTTTAAATGAAATCGGCTTTAAAAATATTAAACAAGTTATTCTTTTTGAACCCGGACAATATAAAGAGAAGGGTATATTTCTTCATTAGCATATCTTTTGAAGCTTGACTTTAATGATAGAAATTTTCTTTTACTAAACTTTAAACTTTTAAAGGACATTTTTATTTTGCCATATTTTCTGGAATTCGTTTTTATTACTTAATTTGAATAAAGTATAAATACGGCTTGCCTTTTTTACGTCATTGAAACGAAAATTAAATCAACAAAAAACTTACATTTGATTAAAGCAGATAATGCTGTTAACTCCGAAAAAACAGTAAAATAAAGTTTTTATTTTTTTGAACAATCAAGAGTGTCCTCATTTTTCTCTCTGTGTTAGTTAAATTCCATGAAAAATAAAAAAGCGTTAAGACCAGAAGAATTACCAACAGAACTATTAAAAAATGGATCATATAAATTAATAATATATCTAAAAGAACTAATGACACGGTATATAAACGGTGAGCCAATATCGACTACGGACTACAAACAGGACTACGAGGACTTTTAAGCTTAACTTTTTTCAAAGACACAGATATTTAAATTTCTAACGGTTTGTTTTAGTGGTAAATTTCTAAGAGTAAAACACATATCTGTGTTAAAGTTTGTTGGTTTATGGAATAAAGAAATATCCAATTTCACGCTACGTCAATGTTTCAACTTTATTTTCAGTCATCCTCAGTACTAATATGATCATAGAGATGTTGGTCATGTTAGTCCTGAAAAATACTTAAAAAGAAGAAATTTTGTTGTAGCGTGAAATAACCTACCCTTGAACTTCAAACAGTTTAATCGAATAAAGAATTTCCAACATTATTATTTCTTGAAAGATGTAGCTCTGTAACGTATTTTATCGTAGAATATCATTTTAGGTGAGCTATTTAACGAAGTTCTAATTAAATGATACGTAAAGTTTGTGAATTAAGAAATAAACCAATATTTCAGTTAGCTTTAGCAGAAATCTAAGTATTAACAAGTTTCCAGCGCTGAGCAACTCGCCTTATCTTCTACGAAAAGTTCTCTTGCCATTTTGGTTTATAGCATGTACTTTTGATATAAAACTAAGTACGCCAAAGCTAGAATTCATCCGTTTTGATGAAATATAATTTCTAACGTATCGTCATGTTTAGTCTACTTTTATTTCATTTTATCAAAATGTCAACTTTTGTAGGAAATTTTATGTAGATTCAGAATATATACCTTGACTTTGTGAGAATTCATTTTGTGAGCGCTTGTTTTTCATCTTTTTTTTTTGATGATGGTTTGGTTAATTACTTGTACGACTACAATGGCCTATATTTTCTTATTCTACACATTTTAATTAGTAAGTAACAGCAGCATTAAAAAAAATCGATGACATGACGAATCGTTAATTTTTTATTAGTATATACCGCCTTTTTTAGTATATGTATAAAAAAAAGTGGAAAAAATGCCAATTTTTGGCTATTTCTTACTCATTTTCAATGATCTTAGAAAGATAGTAAACATATAGTTCTAAAATTATGAAAATATCAATAATTGTAGGAAATTTTATGTAAAATCAGAATATAAAAACCTTTAAAGGCTTCTTGGACTCTCGTTTTTGAGTTATTTTTGATGGTGATTAAAACTTCCTCTACAACCAGTACCATACTTGTAAGACTACAATGGCCTATTTTTTCTTATTTTATACCTTTTAATTAGGAAATACCAGCAGTTTCACCAAAATCGGTCACATGACGAAAATCGACAATTTTTTTGTGCTTGAAAAAATTCGAACAAATGCTCAATTTTGGCTATTTTTTATACATTTTCAAAGGCCTTAGTCCTTAAATTATGAAATTGTCAGAAATTGTATGAAATTTTATGATACTTTTTTTATTTTATATTTAATTTAACCCTGAAAGGGCTTAGATACGCTGGTTCTGCGAGAAAATTACTTTTTGGACCCTTGTTTCATGATAATCATTTCAGTATAGTAATTAAATATATACGGGGAGTTATTTATTTAAGAAATTAATCAATCTAATTTTTGGTACTAAATTCGAATAGAACATATTATTTTACACCAATGAATTTGATCTGTCTATACCATAATTTATAGTTTTGAAAAATATATCTTTAAGCTGCTTACCTACGACGTTGAGGTTGACAAAATAGCTTCTGACAGGCTGTGTGCTTATTTGGCATTCATAAATCCCTGCATCCCGTTTTTGAGCCCATTTTATTTGTAGAGTCCACTCGTCCGTTTCTGGATGATGGTTGGCTTGGAATCTTTGGTCGCTGGTGTATGTATAACTTCCCACAGTTAGAATATGGATATCTCGGTGTCTGATCCATGAAACCTAAATAGGACAAATATCTTAAATTTAATTTAAGGTACATATGTTGATATTTGATGGTATTGTATTGTTATCTGTTTTAGTTTAAAAATAGATGCAGTTTTTCTTAAATTAGTTAAAAACGGCTTGTCCAAAATTATTCAAACTTGACATGTGTATTCAGCAGACGCAAATCTTTAATTTAGCTATTTACGAGTTCGCTGTAAAATCAACAGGGGATCCAATATTTGGACAGTTCAAAATTTGTATAGGAGTTCCTATATTTCCAACGCCGATGCACCACCTGGTATGTACTTATAGAATAAACTAGTATATTTGAAATCCTTTGATATTCATATTTATACATGTCTTACTGAGCTATACAGGGTGGTCCGAACTGTATTCCGGAAACTTCGACAGCATATTCTGCAGTTAAAAATAAGTAAAAAAGTTCTTATAAATGTATGTCGTAAAATGTTTAGTTTCGGAGATAGAGGGTGTCGAAGTTTCATTTTTATTTCGATTTCTTCCAAATAATTTCTGAAGTAACGTCAATATTTGGATGAACATTGGTATCTGGAAGTTTTTTTGACATGAGAAATTAGATTTTGATGTCAATATGACTTCTATTTGTGGGGGGCGCCACCTACATGTGTTTTAACTGTCTGTTTTGAAGAGTAACAACTTTTCTCGTTCGTACCTTTATAAAATTACTGAGTGAAAAAATACACATTTCCGTGACTTTTTACGTAAAAAAATGTCCCTTGGTAAAAATCGCTACAAGCACCCGTTCTCAAAATATTTAGAATGGAAATAGTCAATGCATGTCATTATTAACAGAAAATAAATACGTTGAGTAGATAGTTATATGACTGAAATCACGCAAATTTGGGAAATTTGTATTTTTTTAAATTCATCATAAATTTTCTGCGAAAATATGATGATAAAACAGTCTCTATTGAACTTTTGTCACAAAAACATTTCAAATTTATGATTTCAGTTTGATCTATTTAGTCAACATGTTTAATTTATGTCAGTGATGACAGGTATTGATAATTTCGATTCCAAATATCTCGAAAACCACTACTCGTAGCGATTTTTACCAAGAGACCTTTTTTACGTAAAAAATAGTGGTAATGTATATTTGTATACTCAGTAGTTTTATATAGGTACGGACGAAACGTTATTACTCATCAAATCAGTTAATAAATATGTAGGGGGCGCCCTCTGCATGATTGACATCAAAATCAAATTTCTCATGTCACAAAACCCCAGACACCAATTTTCATTCCAATACCGAATTTAGTTCAGGAATTATTAGGAAAAAATCGAAATAAAAATGAAACTTCTACACCCTGTATCTCCGAAACTAAGCATATTAAAACTTTTTTTACTTATTTTTATCTGCAGAATATGCTGCCGAAGTTTCCCGAATACAAGTCGGGCCAACCTGTAGACTGTGACAAATGTCAATAAAATATTTTCTGGAAGAACTGTATCAACCACAGATAATTTAATATGTAAGGAAATTAAATTAGGACCAAATAACTGCCTCCTCAGGCTTATCGTCCACTTTGGAATATGCAAATTTAATTTTATCCCTTAGATAGCTGTTGAGATGGATGTTAAGTATTGATTAACTGACGGTTACCCTAGTCAGATGTCTAAAATAACGTTTACTTTCCGGCATTGTCCTTTGAAATTGTGTTTACTGTTTACAAAAGTCTTGCTTGTAGAATGCTCAATCTTTAGTTGAATAAATTACAAAAGACTAAGGCTGTATTCCGTTGCCAGGCGAACCAGACCGGTAAACTACAGTAAAGAGCGGTTCCTGCAAAACATCGGTTTGATACGGAACGGTTTTGTAAAATACTGGAAACGTCAAAAATGTTGACGTTTTCTAATAAGCGCTGGTTAGTTTGGTGACAGTTATAACCCAATATTTCAGGAACCGTGTTCCGTAATAAGAAAACTTTCAGGAAACCGATAGAAACAGAACATAAAACCATAACCAATCAAAAGACCCAATATGTATGACACATACTGGTCTATAGACAGCCTAATCTAGTGTAGTATAAGATTTCCTCCACCTGTTTATGATCAACTATCATTAAACAGTAATATAATATAAACCAAAATATCAACAACAAAATACCGTATGATCGAAAAAAATCGGCGTCAATGACTGGGGAATAACATTCGATGATAATTTGGGCGAGGTCAATCTCTATAATCCAGTTGTATTGACATAAAACTTCCCAAAAATTAACACTAATTATAGGACAATAATTGAAAAAGAATAGAACGTTTCCAGACACGCAAATCTATTTCGAGAAATTTATATTTCCTCTAATTTTAAAGTACACCATTTAAAAATTATTTTTACTCAAAAAAAAAATAAATTACAAAACTGACAGTAAGCGTCATTAAAAAATAAAGAAGAGTACGGACCAAGTAAATGACGTCTAGCGCTTGACCTCGCCAAAATTATCATCGATTGTCATTCCCGATGTCATGTTTTTTTTTCGTATTGTAGCATAGTACATAATTCAAATCAAAATCGGGTATCATAGTTTAATTACACCATATTTCAAGAGATATCTTTAGAGTTTGAGAAAAATCGTTGTCACGATAGACTTTAAACTGTGCCATTGAATTTATCTATCGATAAACCGCGGTAAAAACGGCTTCAATTTGAATCTTGCCTCGATAAATCAAAAAATAACTTGGAAATATAAACGATTTATTTCCAGGGCACATCGCAATGAAAAAAGACATCCTTGTTTTTATATTTACAGCAAAAATCTTTCAGTCTCCGTAAACATTATGGCTTTTATATCCTGATGCAGTTTGAATAAGTAAAAAGATCTTTGTACATCATTTCCCTTGTCTCAATACCGAATATGAATTTAGAATTTTAAAAAAAGAAACTTCCACAATATCCCGGAGCCGTAAAAAAATACAAAGAAATTTTTAAGGGAAATATTTTTGTTAAAAAAGTTATGGAAAATCGTTTTTTTAATTTAGATTTTGAGATTATATATTTAAAATTAAGCTCACGTTCTCAGTGGTTCAGAGAATTAATTTTTTCATATCTGTTTTAATAGAACAATTTTTTGAATTTAATATTTTTCCTTGAATTGTTATTTTTTTTATGATAAATATTTTAATAAAATGTGTTTACATTAATTGGTTTAGTACCTTATTAACTTAATTACGAAAGACACACCCTATGTACTAAAGAAAGTTTTAATAAACTTCTATAACAAACTCTCCCCATATGTAACATAAACTTATTATAATAATATACAGAGTGGTCCGAACTGTATTCCGGAAACTTCGATAGCATATTCTGCAGATAAAAAGAAGTATTACAGTTGAGGGTTGGAACCTTTGGTGTTACACAGCAAAATAAAAACACTAAATCACCACAATACACCAAAACACTTTTACTTTTACACTGGACGCGCGTTTCGCTAACCATGTTAGCATCATCAGCAGATGATTATAAACTATTATTAACTAGTTTATAATCATCTGCTGATGATGCTAACATGGTTAGCGAAACGCGCGTCCAGTGTAAAAGTAAAAGTGTTTTGGTGTATTGTGGTGATTTAGTGTTTTTATTTTGCTAAAAAGAAGTAAAAAGTTCGTATAATTGTATGTCCTAAAATGCTTAGTTTCGGAGATACAGGGTGTAGAAGTTTCATTTTTATTTCGATTTTTTCCTAATAATTCCTGAACTAAATTCGGTATTGGAATGAAAATTGGTGTCTGGGGTTTTGTGACATGAGAAATTTGATTTTGATGTCAATAGGACTCCTACATGAAGAGGGCGCCACCTACATATTTTTTAACTGATTTGATGAGTAATAACTTTAATATATTGACATTCATAAATAATCTAGTTACTATGATCTGATCTTACACAAAAACAATTTAGAGAAATGTTTGACTAATATCACAGATAACATAGTATATTAATTGTATATTATCCACAGGTAACGTATTACCCTATGCTAATATATCTTAAAATAAAAAACAGCTTTAAAGCTGTCTTTAAAATGACAAAAACCGATAATTTTGAAAGGCAATGCTAACTCATTCTCGGGATTTTATGGTGTATCATTATGTAATTGTGATAAAAATATCAGAATTTCCCAGCGAAATTGAATTGTCTATATAAAACTAGTTTTCAAAATATAATTTTGTTCAAGTTAATACAAACAAAAAAATAATGAAAAATATATGAAGTTCTTTACTGAAATGGGAGTTTTATATATGCAGGAAATGCCGTTTTATGTATTAATAAACATATCTTTATTGTGGAATAAAATTGGCAACAGCAATATAAATAACAAGGAATTTTTGTACTTTCGAAATCAAAAATTTTTATGAATCATTATATTTTTCACATAAAGATGTATATCCATATATGTATGTCATTTGACATTTAATGACATATTAAATTTAGACATAAAACACACTACACGTGCAGAGAGTGTATTATAAATAACCATTATTCCAACTAAATAATTGAAGTGTGTATTAAATTTGACATTTTTGAATAAGTAGATGTACAGCAGGGGCGTAAATAGGTGTATGCTATGGGGGTGGTACTATGATTAAGTCGCAAAAAAAATCACCGTCGGAATTTTTTTGTCGAACTAAAACGACGGCGATTTTTTTGTCTTCAAAAAGATATAAAAACATAACACAAAAATTAAAATATAGATATGTAAATAACATACACAAAAATGAAACAACGACGTTTATTAGTTAATTTTCTATAAACTATAAATAAAAAAATCTAAACTATCAAAAAAAAACTATAACTAAAACTACAAAACAAAATCAAGTTTTCTAGTACGCTGTTTGGAAAACCTATCAATAACAGCATCAACATTTATTTCAATATCTTTATGGATATTGATTAGAGTTAACCCCACTAATCTGTCCTGGCCAATAAGAACACTTTGTGTGCTTTTAATTAGGTCGAACATATTATAAACGATAAATCAACATAATTAAAAGCATACAAAGTGTTCTTATATGTCGGATATTAATTAAAAAAAAATCTTTCATAGTCAATGACTATTTCAATTCTCGTATCTCGTCAAGCGTCAGGGGGGGGTACTTTCCCCCAGAACCCCCCCCCCCTTATCTACGCCCTTGATGTACAGAGGTAGCAAAAGAATTTCAGAATCCAAGATTGATATACAGTGAGTTATAGGCAAATGTTCTGGTTCTTGTTTTTTTCTTAGATATTGTTGCTTTCTGCCTTTACTGATAAATGTGATAGTCCCGTTAGAGTTCCCGTGTTGAGACGTAAAAGTCCCGGAAGGAGATTAAAATGGGCCGAAGATCATGTTAACTGGGAAGAACAAGACTGGGCTCATGTGCTCTTCACTGATGATCATCATCCGATTCATTCAGATTGGGTTTGAAACCAGATTCCAGAAGAATAAGGGTATGGAGACGGTCAGGAAACGTTGCTCGTCTGGAAACCATCCATTAGGTGGATCGCTTCCAGGGCGAAACAATTATGCTTTGTTCTGTTGCTTATCGTGACACAATTCTTCGAACCATTGTTCCTCCCCAGGCAGCGCAAATCGGAGAAGTATTTATTTTAATGCAGGATAATGCCCTCCTGAATGTAACGAGAATCGTGGGATTATTTTTGAATCACCACAATATTACAATGTTGTAGAATTGGACACTAAAGGAAAGTGATAAGCAAAGAATGAACGCCTTGGTGGGTATATCGACGGCTGCTGCGAATACCATGGACGGCTCGTCCAACAAACATCTCCATTATCGAAGAAATAAAAATTGAGACACGTCTGGTTACCAAATTATATCAGTCAATCTTCCAATATTTTGGCCATATTGCCAGGATGCACCTCAATTGGGAGACTGATGGTGGAGGTGAAGGTAGAAGGAAGACGATCACGTGGAAGGTCACCTAAGAGGTGGGTAGACCAAGTCAAAACCCTAGTGGGCCACAACCTCCCCGAAGCTTCACATATGGCACAGTGTCGAACAACTTGGTCCGAGGAAGTGAGGGGAATCAACACATGATGTCACCATACTCTCACTTAGGGTAAAGGACTGAAGAGAGAGAATTGCAAACCAAAGCGGAGTTGGAAAATTGTATAATAGAGGAGTGGCAACAAATTGACCAAAACGAGATAGACAATTTAATTAGAAGTATGCCTCGCCGATGTAGAGCTGTAATAAACAATAGGGGTGCTCATACATTGGATTAGATTTTGATTTTATTGTTTGTTATCTAATATTAATTTATATATTTTCTTTCCTTTTTCGACCCCCTGTATAAAAAAGCTGATTACAATTAAATGTCTTTATTTTTGGTATAAAAATACAATCTGTTGACATTTTCGTTTAATTTTATAATTTTAATCTCCAATATTACAGTGCTTAGGGAACACACAATACTAACTTTTTCCCCTGAACCATTTCGATGCGTGACTAATTATTTAACATTATAAAATATCCCTCTGCAGATATTTTAACAGAATCATCGCCAAACAGGGCAACTACTCATTCATCCTTATCCAATCTTATTTGATCTATAGGGTCAGAGCTTTATTAGATGTATACATGATCAAAGGTCTCTGACAGATCTAAATGTATAAGGGTTCGAAGATACGTATCAGTTTTGATATCTATAGAGTAAATTTTGCCTTTAGGTGAGATCTACAGAGTTAGTACACACGTTTAGGGTGATTAGGGGTATACAGGGTTATCTTAAATACGTTGGTTAAATGAATAAATATAAAAATAATTAGGTCATTGCTTAATTAAAGGGTTTTTCTATAACATTTTTAAATTTAATGTAGCAAAAAGCAAGACGGATATCAAAATGATTACATTTTTTATATTTTTCCAGCTCAAATTACTAGACCTACGATGCCTGAATATAATGCCACTGTATATAAAATAATTCAACAACCAATATAATTTGTAAAATTAATCATTATATATTTTTAATTCTCGTTAATAAACAATAAAAATTTTGGTTAGATTTATTCTCAAATGCCAGAAGCAACTTGGATTATAAAATATTTTATCTTTGAAGATGCATTTTACCAAAAATATCAGCACTGACACACGTGTTATTAGTTCGCCATCACTGCTATAGATACTGTACAAATGTTTTTTTTACCTTCATATAGTATACATTCTATTTTTTTTTATTTTGAGGGGATATGAGAATTTATTATATTAGAAATTCTTCGATGATGAACACAATTAATCTTGATATTTAATTTGAACAAAAATAGAAATACGGCGTTCGTGAGCTCTAGATTCGGATCGCCGCGCCGTAATCCAGAATCGGCATTAAAATTATGAAGACTTCATTTTCGTTGGCTGTGTTTCGTATTATTATGTAAAGCATGTTTGCCGGCTCTAAAAACCCACGACATTGGTGAAGTTGCAAGTCGAAAAACGGCTTCGGAATACTTAATAAGTTATTGGAGAGATTTTCCTTCTCAATTTCATCAAATTTGATTTTTCTAACGTTGTTTTCGATTATCCGATTACAGGGCAATATATAGTTTCATCCGAACTTTCTGTTGTTTCTTCTGCAGTTATATAAACACCATAAATTAGTTACAAGCTAGATAAAGTTAAAAATCAATATTTATTTTTACAAAAAGATACTTTTTGTAAAATTTTGAAGGAAGATTATTTTATATTTTCTACCCCTTTGCAGATATAATTGTATGGAACTTTTACCATTCTAAAATGAATGATAAACAAACATACAGGATGATACATGCAAATGTTTCATTAATAGTATTTTAGGATCTAAATTTGAATGTTTCAAGATAAGGTTATTTCTAATAAAACATTTTCCATTTTCTGTGACTTTGGCTATGTATTGTATACAATAAAGTAATGTAAAAGGATGTGTCATTTTAATTTAAAATGTAAATATTTCTGTTTAAGAATATACTTGTTATAGTTTATCGACTCCTGATATTAAAGTTGTTGTAATTCTGTTCTTAGGTGAAGTTCGGACAAGAAAAATATTGGTGAAAATGTGCCTGTGGATTAATTAGCTCTACTTCTGATATGTGTGTGGATTTGTGGATTTATCATTTTCTCTCAGGGACATCACAGGCCATCGGAGGAATTAATTAATTTTAAGGTGAGTTTTTTAAGGTTACTACTTTTTTATATTGCATCTGTTTTGGAGGCCGAATGTATTTTCAAAAAATATATACACTTTGTTTGCAGTTAAATTTACAGAAATTACTTAATATGTTTTTTCATATTTATTAGCTTTATAGTTTTCATTTATAGTGACAGATATTACATATATTCTTCCATATAGCTCCATGTAAACAAATTATCATATTCTTCGAAACAGAAATTTTAAAGTTAAGAATAATAAGCATTTAACCTCTGAAGCTTTTTTACAGTTGTACATTTTATTTATTTGTCGTATTTCTCAGTTGCAGGTTTATTTATTTTTTATTTTGCAGGTACATTATTTTCTAAAACCACACATATTTTACATACGTAAAAATCATATATTTTGCGTTTTTCCTGTATATCCTATTTTAGGTTTAGACCGGTATATTTATTCATATTTTAGGGACCTATACTGTTCGTCATTTATATTGACAATAGTATTCCCTATTTACGAACGTTGAAGTTTTGCTTTTTTATTTTCAGGTTTATTTATTACTATACTTTTTACATATACTTACGGTTACAGTTTAGAAAACGGCTATTATATTAAGTATAAGATTTTTTCTTACATATCTCTAATCAATATAAATAGAAAAATACATATAAAGGTGTTTAATAACAAAAAATAAGTTGAAATTAACTTTTTATGAAGCACATTTCAATGTGTCAATGTAAAAACTTCTCACTAATTGAAAACTGTTTATTTATCCATTGCAATATTGACATACACGTAAGCACCATGATTTCCTTTTTACCCTTTGACACATATCAAGAGATAACATCTGTTCCTGTCAGCTTAATATCGGTTATCATTGCTTCATATATCTTAAATACTGGATCACAATTTTTTGTTAACATTGATAACTCTAGTATTGGTAAGTCTGATCTAAAACAAGGCGATCTAATCAAAAAACGTCAAACGAATTCAAAATTATTAAGAAGAAAAAAGAAATCCGATTTTTTTAATTTGACCTATCCAATAATGTACGTTTTTTAAATAATTTTATTTAAACAATATTCTCTAATCAACGCAAAAACTGTTTAGTAAATATTATACATACCGTATACCGTACGATTGAAAAAATAACGGTGTCCAGTTGGCTTGGAAATGACTATCGAGGACATTCCCCATTTAATTTTACATATAAAATGACAGCGATCTTTATTTCATAGCCATCGCTGACGCCGTTTTTTTTTGATCGTATGGTATTTTATGTTCCTAAATAAGTACATACTCTATTTTACTTTTTTCCTATATTTTTTATTTTAGGTTTAGTCTATTTATTATACAAGGTGAATCTTAAATAAGTACAAATATTTTTAGGGGTAGTATATTTCGACCCCAGAAACGATTATTTTTTTTTCCGCGAAAATTTTTTTTTGAAAATTCAGAATTTTTTGGATTTTTTTTTAGTTTTTAGTTATAAAATATAATTTGTTTATAATATGGCAACATAGGTAGTAGATTAAATTTACAAGAAAAAAAATCCAGAAAAGATCCGATGGTTCTCAAAATTTATGCAAAAAATCATTTTTTTTTGGTTTATTTTGTACTTACTTGAAAAACAGTAAAGAGAAAATATGTTTCTTTTATGGAGCTCTACCAGCCCTGAAAATATTTGCACTTATTTAAGACTTACCCTGTATATATTATATACTAATGTTGATAAATCTGTGATATTAGGTATGTGGATACTTTTAATAATACTACTTTATTAGGTTGTAGATGTAAACGCCGACCCAAGGTTTCTCTTGCCAGCAGGGTATATTGACAGAAAAATATTTCTTATTGAGTTATTATTTTCAGTTTTTCGGCCGTTATAGTGGTACTAGCTACTGTAATATTTCGCTTATTTTATTCTATATAGTTTACGTAGGTTCAATGCCTACATTTTAATCCTTTAAAATCCTATAAATTAAAATCCTGGGTTAACATTATGAAATTGTGAAATAGCCTAAGTTAAAAAATATTTGCATATATTAAACCAAAAAAATAGTGTAGAAATTAAGCATAAATTCTAATAAATTATAAATAACAAAATTAAAAAAAATAAATAAAAAATTAGTAAAATTTTAGTTAAAAAATTATTTTTAAATAAAATTAAATTTAAATAAATACATAAAATATTAAAAGCAAATATCACCACTACTATTTTATTGAAGAGATAATGTTTCATAAAAATTCATCTAAAAAGCAATTCGTTACAGTAATTGCAAGAGGAAGTTTTTCCTATTTCCAGTCTGGAATTTTAACTGTGTAAATGTAATCTGAAAGCAAGGGTGACATAGAAATGCTTAGCTCTAACTATTTCAAAATTATCGCGCTGCTCTCTCAAATAATAGCTTGGTAAACATTTGAATAACGTCTAGTGAAACAGATAAATATATAGGGTGATTCTCCAGCTTGGAATAAATTCAATAAACAAAAGAATTTTTTAGTAATATACTGTGATAAAAAAAACATTTAGATTTACTAAATTTATTTCAAGATAGTACATCGCTCTGTATTATATTGAATTGGTTATATTATTACATATATTGTGTGTGATGATGTTTAGGTTATGTTTAAGCCATACATGTTCCTTCCATACATGTTTTATTTAATTTACTATTTTATTTTTTACAAATTTACAAAAAAACTACAAGCGACACAAATTAAACTTTTAGTTATGTAATCGAGGGCGCGATTTTTAAATACATTGTTGCCAACCATGGACATATTCGGCGCCGGGCTGATTAACTTGAATTTAAATTTCCCGTTGGGGATTCAGGTGATAGCTCTGCTGTAAAAAATGTCAAGTTGCCACATTTACTTATTTATTTATTTCCTGACAGTGTCATTTGTTTTGACACTAGTTTTGTTTTACGAGCTTTTGTACTAAATAATTTGTGTTGATACTTTCAGCTAAAAAAAATTACTGCTATTAATTTTAATCTTGCAGTCGAACATTGGTCTTTCTTGAACCTCTTTTAGTGTGAATTGTACAAGATAGAATAATAGCCCATGAAAAAACTCATCGTAACCATATTAGAATATTTTGGACGGGAATGCGGTAGCGTTAGAATGGCTCTTTATGTCCCTTAAGTGCTGTTAAGGAGGTGAGTTTTGTTGATGTAAATAATAAATGTTTATATATTTATAATTAATTTATTTTTGTTTCCTAAAATATTTTGATTAAAAGAAAATATGTAACATTGGGCAACGCTGTGCCGGTCAAGCTTAATCACGTGACTAAAAGTTTAATTGGTATGAACTATATGTAGTGTTTTACGTAAGTAACAATATATCGATTTTATTATTTACACTTTTTCTGTATTCTTGGGCTATCATACTGAGTAGCACAATAGCGTAATAAATGTCTATACCTATATGAAAAAAAAATTCTCAATAGTAAATAATTGTAGGTATTGGGGTGCTAATACTAACTAAGCATAACTAAACTATAGTTTAAATATTTTAAATTTGGACACCAACTAGACATTTACTTTTGATATACAGGGTGGCCCATCGAAAACGTTCCGGAAGGCATAACGGCCAGGGTAATTTTTTTTTTCAGAAAATCCCCCAATCTTTTTCAAATGGGAAGAGGGGTCAGGTGGTACCGCAATGAAAAGGACTTTCTATTCTCTATACTTTCCCGTTTCGTTTTTGAAAATCGGTAGAGTCATTGAGAAAATATGAAGGATTGAAATTTGAAAAGTTTATTTAAACATTTATCAGAGTAAATGATAACGATAAATTCCTTGGACCATTTTGCTGTTTTTTCTTATTATTTGTAGATGTTTACGCATTTTTTCACTTGCCACAAGGTTGAACGATCAGATGCGGTAGTTGCTAGATAGCTGTTCTGTGATTTGTGCGTTGAAGTTCTTCTCAATATCGTTAAACTTTTTAGCAATTATGGTGTACTCACTTGCATAAAAAGTGGAAATAATCGAACTTTATTTTAAAAATAATGAATGTATCGGGTTGCGCAGATATTCAATGAAGGCCATCCTGACAAACACCTTTATGGCAAAATTGTTCGCTAGTTAGTAGCAAAATTTCGCGAAACTGATTCCGTTATGAATAAAAAGAGGCAGAGGGAAAATCCTGTAGTAAATGAAGCTATGGAGATATTCATATTGGGCCAAGTTGCCATGGATAGTACGCTGAGTACAATTAGCCAATGAGACCGACGTAAATCATACAAGTGTCCAAAGGAAAAAAACACAAGTACCACGCTTACAAAATTCAGTTGGTACAAGAACTCAACGAAGACGATTTTGATTGTCGCTTGCAATTTTGTGAAACTATGAATGGACGAGTGGCGAATGATTATAATTTCCTATTTAATGTGTGTTTTTCGAATGAGTGTACTTTCTTTTTGAACGGTGTAGTTAATCGGCACAACTGTCGGTACTGGGCCGAGGACAACCCCAGGGTTTTTCACGAGGTGCACACACAAAATCCTCAGAAATTGAACGTGTGGGCTGGTATTTTTGGAAATTCTATTGTGAGTCAGTTTAACGATATTGAGAAGAACTTCAATGTACAAATCACAGAACAGCTATCTAGTAACTACCGCACCTGATCGTTCAACCTTGTGGCAAGTGAAAAAATGCGTAAACATCTAGAAATAATAAGAAAAAAACCCAAATTGGTTGTAGGAATTTATCCTTATCATTTACTCTGATAAATCTTTAAATAAACTTTTTAAATTTCCATCCTTCATATTTTCTCAATGTCTCGACCGATTTTCAAAAACGAAGCGGGGAAATATAGAGAATAGAAAGCTCTTTTCATTGCGGTGCCACTTGACCCCCCTCCCCATTTGAAAAAAGTTGGGGGATGACAGCCCCGCTTAGAGGGTTGAAGATTTTGCAATCATTTTTGGGGCAAAAGTTGTCCCCCTCACAAACAAAATTGACGTGTTTTTGGATTTTTTGAAAAAAGGAATACTCTGGCCGTTA